CCTCAGCCCATTCTCTTCACGTCTTGATCCAAGAACAGGGAAGTAAGACCGAGACTATAAGCCGACTAATTACGTCGAACGACTTCCAGTTCATTAAACCATGAGCTTGCCTGACGTGAAAAACGTGGAAAGAGAGAGAAAAAGGCAATCAATTCAAGATATATAATCATCTAAGTTGATGTTTTCTTTTACTACTTCGACTACCTGTCCCAAAGAACAAACAACTGGAACTTGTTTGTCCAATTAACGTCAAGTATTGTACAAAGAGGAATGTTTTTAGTGGAAACTTCCCAGCTGGAGGTCAAGGTTTTGAGGGTCGGAAAATTTAAACCTGCTAAATAAGTAAAACTACGATGAAATTAAGACAAAACAAGAATCTTGGAGACTGTCGGTTATGCATAAACAAGTAGATTCGGAGTAATCACACACGAGCGTGAATCGTTGGGAGGCAAATTTTGTCTAGCTATCACATCAGTGGTATTTATTAAGTAAATATTATTCTAAAGTAAGTCTACGCTATGAGTTTTTTTTATTATCATGTAGGTCATGCATGGGTTTTAACACCAACAAAAAAGCAAAAAAGCAAAAAAACAGGTGGCGGTGCCAAATTCAACCGGGATAACGGGCTCCTGCCCGGGTCTCAAGTAGTTTAAGGTCAGGTTCTAATCGGTTTAGCCGTGGGAAATAATTTATTGCTATAACTTCAGCACAGATTAAGGAGCTGAATCAAAATTGAAAGACATGAAGACCTCATCGTCCTTAACGTTTTAAAGTATGAATATTGTGTTGATAAGTCAGGTGATATGCCACGTGACCATTTATCTAGAAATTTTAAATATTTGACAAATTGGTGGCCGGTTTAAGAAAAGAAATCAAGTAATAACATTTTTCTTATTGATATTACATATTTCTAACACTTCACGTTTGGAATGACTATCCATTGCACTTCAATAAAAAATTGTAAAGGAAAATAAACGCATGTGTATCTTCTGTCAGAAACGCCAATTTATTCAACCAAACAAAGTAAATTCGCCAATTTCCTTCATTTTCAATTTTTGGCCACGGGATCATAATTAAACGTCAAGGCATAAGAAGACCTCAAGATTTACTTTTGGGGAAAAATTTTTATTGTTGGAGGTCTGCTTGCGAGAGATATTGTCAATCAATCATATGCTCCGAACACACCTTTTATCCAGGCCATAAACCACTGGAGGAGACAACACAGAATTTTCAGTGAACTTTGAACAAACAGCTATAACGATTAGCGAATTTCAGTCATCATTTGAAATTCTTGCAGAAAAATTGGGACCTGTATAAATTAAGCTTACACTTTGAACAACCAATTGGCGTGCGTCCAACCGCAATCCCACATCCAAAATTTCACACTTACTCGTAAAAAACTCCTTTATTTACTTTTATTATGCAACAACTGTTTGGGCACCCTAACCCAGATTCGCTGCAGGGTATTCTGAGGCCTTCACGGTTAATGGTACGGTAATGCATATGAGGTTAACGAATCCGCTCGGTACATGTGACCCGAATAGAATCCTGGTAATAAGCGATGGGTGACAGAAGTAACAGCCCATAGACCCACCTCTTGTGGCGGGCGACAAGAGGAGCCCGCAATCCTAATCCCAGGTTGTTATTACGCGTGCGTCGCATGTATGTAGCCAGCATTCATTTGGACTTCCACGAAGAATGAATGGAATGCGCAAAACGCAATTTGATCACGCGCGTTTTGACCTTCTATCACTCGTAATCTGGTCACGCGTGTTTTGACTATCTGTCACCTGAAACTTACGCAAAGCACTGCGACGGAGCAAACGCGTTTTGGCCTTCGATCGCTGTCGCCCGCACTCCGTAACCTTTGATTATTACTAGTTTAGGTCATATGTTCTCAAAATAAAGTGTTTCAAGGAGATGCTCTGCTTGCTGCTTTCACACTGACACGTCTTGATATGTAAGTGAAGTAATCACTCCCATCCTCCCACCCCGACAAACTCCTTGAAAATTGGTCCCTGCTCGACTTTCGAACAGACGTGTGGTGGGTTTTTTAAATTTCTTTAAAAGGCAAGTTATTTTCATCACATGGAAACGCGATATATCATTCCATAGTTTGCTTCTCTACTCTCTAAGATTCCGAACGCCTTAGTTACACGCATTGCTCTCACTCGAATGTCTGTTTGTTACACACTTGTGACGTCACATAGTTACGTGACATAAATTCGATCGTTTTCCCGTCACGCGCAGAAATAGGCCTTTTGCAATAGTTGTAAACCAACGAAGATCGTTCACTTTTAAAAAATTTTGTTAGATGGAACTAAAAGAGTATATTAACATTACGTAATTATAACCTGTGAATTTTCAGCCGTATATCTCAAATTAAAGGAGCGATTGTAACGGCCGCCGAAAATTAGAAGGATCAACTCTTGCCACCCAGTGGTTTAATTTTCTATACAAATCCTTGTAAATTTCGACATTTTTAAACTGTCCTTAAATCTTCCCCTTATGCATTTAAGGGCTCAAATTGCCTGTTATGAATAAAAAGGAGGTATGAGCCCCATTATGCTTAAGGATATATTTTACGACAGTTTGAAAATTTCCAAATTTACAAGGGTTTGTATGTAAGTGACTAGGTGGGAAGAGTTGTTTTTCCCATACAAATCCTTCTAATTTTCCGCGGTCGTTGCGATCGCTATACTTTTGAGATATACGGCTGAAAATTTACAGGTTACCTAATTTTAATACACGATCTCTAAGAGACATGCTGTTAATCACAACCAAGATTATTTTGCTAGAGTGTAGTTCTGTCACTAAAGACCCTGATTAGTTGGTGATCTAGTTGGGGTTCGAACTCGTAACCTGAAAAGAATTCTAATGCTAATCCCGAGGCCTTTGGCAGAAAGCTGCACGAAGGATATTTTGATAGGTAAACTGTTAAGCAGTCAAGTCAAGCACGAAAAAGCTCCGGTACGTGTTTCGTAGTATGTAAATATTTCTCTTCTATGTTATTTGTAATTACGAAACTCTGACTTTGAACGTGAAACACTTCTAAAGCTGTATTTACCTTTTAAGATCACCATAACTTTTGCATTGCAGCTTCGTTTTATGCTTAACATGTTTCTCAGTTGTACTAAGTAAGCATTTGCAAGTGAAAAATAAAGGTTCGGATTGCACAACTGGTAATAATTCAGGGGCACCCAACGAGGATATAGTTCAAAACCACTTAACAAAGCATTGTTGAACGTATTTTAGTATTCAAACGGTAGATATAGGCATATTTTTATCCCCTAAAACTTTTCATCCGTTCGGATTTCCTAGCTGAAAGTCTAGTGATCCGAAAATTATAGGGATCAAAACTTACCTTTTCGAGAATTTCAGCCAGGAAAAGGCTCCCGAAAATTCTAGGTGGCCTTTTTTAGGGTAAAAATCCGTTAAAAATGGGTAATTATACCATTTTGTAGATGTTCGAAAATCCTAGGAGAGGCAGGCAAGCAAGAAATTTGACAATAAATGTTCCGCAAATTCTAGATCTCAAATCGTCTTCCGAACAGATATTTTCCGAAAATTGCCGTTGGGTGCCCCTGATAATTGTCCGCTTGATGAGTAGAAGTTCCGCCCGAGATATATAAATAGTAATTTTTATATACTACACTATGTTTTTAGAGTGGAAGCATATCTATATCATATGTATTTTTTAACGCCAGTGTTTATATACAGTGAAATAGCTTTTGCACCACTAATCAAAAGTAACTTTACAAACAGCTACGTGGCGCACGGCATCTTGCAAAAGTAAGCCTAAGTTTTCAAGCTTGTCGGGTTTACAATCCATGTTTCTCCTTAATCTATCTAAACCCATTCATTACTCAACATGTCCGGTGTTCCTCTGTGTCTCAAACTGGTATTAATATTTTTCAAATCGCAAAATAAAGGACTCAAATGATATACAATTATCGTAACAGAGGCCTCAAAGTTCTTGCAGTCGCGGCTTCTCGGTACATTGGTTATTGTTATTGCCGACACAAGCGGGTAAATAGAAACTACGTGAGGCAGTTGCACAGCTGAATTCCTGAGAAAATTATTTATGTTTTTCAAAAGAAATTCAGCCTCTCAGTTCCCTTTCGTTTCATTCAGAAAAGCAGGAAGTATTTAACAAAAATAGCTTTACGGAACAAAACTGATATCTATTTCTGAATCTCAGGCTACGGGAACTGAGACCGTGAAACGTGAGAAACACCGCCCAAAATGTATTAGCCACTGTTTTAAAATAGCGGCGAATGAATTGAGTTAAATTACCAATTGTATTCACGTATATGATCGGTACAACTACAAAGATCACGTTTTAATAAAAATAGAGCGATCGCATAAGAACAATTATTGATTCTGACAACCAAGTGCCAATCATCCTATAGAGCTAGTAGCTCCAGCCAATCCAATTCAAGACACCTGTTCGTTTTTCGTAACGCCGGTGTATAAATTAAATGCAGAACCAGTCTTGTTTTGCTTTTAAATACTAATAAATAACAGTCCAAAGAAACTGCTAGCAAAAAGAAAAGGCCCGAATGGACCAGACTACGAAACAAAAAATTGTTTCCAGCGAAAACAAAGAAAGGGCGGTTTTATATCAGTGTAGAGAGAGAAGAGCAAAGGAGGATTAAACATTTGTCTCTAATACCCTGACGTAAAATCTCCACGGCTGACGCAAGTAGAACAAACGAATTAATGTCGAGTTGCCAAAGTAGGATGTGTTTCCGTCACTGAAGCCTAAAAATAACCCCACTTCCTATGAACAATCAGGAATGAAATACTTAAAAATTGCGTGGGTGAGCTGAAAGTATTAAACTTACGCGTGTATTGCTGACAGGAGCAATCAATTCCTCACTCCAATATTGTCGGTATAAATATATGCTGGGGCATATCACTGTTTATAACGCTGAAGACTGAATTGACTTCAAGTGAGAAACATGGGAAGTTTGAACGACAACTGGTCCTGTAACGGAGACAAAAAAGTACAATGGGCAGAAAACTTGGAGGAAGTTCGTTATTATGTCCCTCCAAACAACTTGCGAAAGAGCTTCAAGAAAAAGATGACGAAAATACGACGCAAAGCAAGCGAAATCACGGACAAGCCCCTCCGCATCATTACAAACATGGGTGAACTCAGTGCGAACGCTGTTCATAACGGGCTAGAATTTATACTTCGACATGGGCAAAGTGGTTCATTTGACGCCGACCGTGTTACATACGAAGATTTGATCAAGGAATGGGATGAGCTCTTTGAAAATTTTGCTGGTGCGAATGAGGATTCTACGGACGATGATGATGAAGAGGTAAATCAAAAGTAGTCTGTTACCACTACATGGTCATCCTTTTTAACGGTTTACGAAGAGATGGTCGCGGTATCCAGACTTTGGCGCTGATAAAACCCGAAGAAGAATGTGGTATTCTTTTGACCGGATAATTTCAGTAGTAAACCAAGATATAAACTTTGCCCCAAAAGGAGAAAAACAGCCTCGAAGAACTGGGAAGAATTTTTATTTGTAACATGACGGTTACAAGACAAAAAAAATCGTTTCGCCCGGGAGAAGAGCATTGGGACCATTGCCAATTCAACTTGAGCAGAAAACGAAATTTTATATGAACTGAACACTCTGATTTCGCTGAAATTTTTCTTAGCAGACTATTATAACCTCGTATTTAAAAAGCCAATCAAATTGTGAATATTACAAGTACTATCGAGGCAAATCGGTATTTTGGAGCTATTTGTAAAAAGAATAAGTAAATGCTCGTATTTTTAATAACGCTATTTTTGAGTCATTTTGCATCTGAAAGTAAATTATGTTAATCTTTTGACAAAGAGAGTAGAATACTTAATGACGTCGATGCCGTCGCGTTCTAGCTTATTTATGATCGCCTACAGTATGTATCTGAAATAATATATATGATATAAAAACAGCTAAATATTTTCAAATGAAGAAATATAAAATGCCATACTGTAAAATATGAATGAGTTTCGCAGATCGAGAAATTGAGAAAAGAAAAGTTTTTAATAAAATATTTTTCGTGTCAATAACTGCTGTGTCACCCTCTTTTACCATAACAAAGATACCCTGCAAGCACAGGCCCCTCGCTCTTCCTGGATACTGCACGTGCATTCGCACGCGGATCAAAAACATGGAAACAGCATCCCTTATTTAGTATGAAATGTATTCAACCGTTTAACTTCTCAAAAAATCAAAAACGTTTTTATGTGTAAAAACCCAAAGTAAACGAAACATAGATCGAGAATTGCAACAGGAAATTTGTTTGAATATTTGTGTTCCAAAGAAGTTATATAAATATCACATTACTTTTGGAGTCTTCATAATTGCCCCTGGGAGTGAAAAAGATTAAATTTCGCTTTGGAGAAAAAAATAATTTTAAATTAAAGCCACGAGCTATAAAACCTTTCAGCTTGTTTTAGGCTCGAAACACATATCGTTTCGCGAAGAACTACCTTCCCTTTTGCTTGATAAGGCACGACCGCTATAAAGTGCAGAGAAAACGAAAAAAACCTAGCTGACCCAAATTTCGACAAATTGAATACACATTAGTTAGTAAATAATGAAGGAAACTTATTTAACTCGTCCATTGATTTAACAAACGAATATATTTATCAAATTCATCACATACAGTTTCGTGGCATCTAGTTTTGGGCAATAAATGTATTATATTTATGTAACGGTATAGGCAATATCTTGTAAGAACAACACACATTGACGTGGATTGAACTGATCGATGGTACAAATCTTGGACCTGTGTGTGGGAGCCGCCGTTCTTTCTTCACTGCTTAGTTTTAAGCCTTTTTGTGAAATTCTATATCTCCTGTCGTTCGATCTTCTAATGAAAACTTTTAACAATGTTTCCAATATGTTCGAGAAATTTCCGACCCTCGCCTCTACAGATTCTGTTCAAGTCGTTTTCCTTTGTGCAATTAATAGCCGAATTAAATAAAATTTACGACTTAAAGATCTTTACTGTTGATAATCTTGCAGTTACGTATACGAAAGCGTAGATGAATTATATCTTCTCGGCACCTGGTTTAATTTGTAAGAGGAAATAAAATGTTGATCACCTGGTCCGACTCGAAAAATTGTGGGCTATGAAATATTGGGCAATATTCATCAACCGTATTCGTTAAGTATTGAAACCATTAGCCATTAAGTCAATGGCAAAATGACTATTTTTTTCCCACGAAAATGTATTTCAAAAGGTGAGTATGTCATTTCTTTTCTATTTCATTGCTTTTGTTTTCGCCTTAAACCGCATGGAGAGTTTTTATGAAAATCGCTACACCTGCCGTAAAATGAGTTGTATTACCGCTGACCATCAGGAATATGCAAGCTAATCTTAGCTAATATTCTTTTCTGGGAAGAAAAATAGCAGAACGTTGTTAATGTGCTATGGATCAGTATATATATCCAGTAACACACGGCTAGCCGAAAAATCAAGGGTAAAACGTAGCACTGAATGTTGAAATGGGTCATTAAGTTAACATGCCTAACTTTGTTGCTAAAAAGAAGATGGGGCTTGCTCCATCGAGCGACTCTCAGCTTGTAAAGCAAAAGCACTCTGCTTCAGCATTGGTTACAGCATTTTGAGCAAAAATGTAGAAAAGTGCGTCCCATTCGCTTAAATATTTATGACACAGAGCAATTTATTATCTACAATTCTCACCTCCAAATTAAAAACTTGTGACTCGCTGGTTTAGGTTCGCGTGAAAGCTACACAGGGGGGTTTGTTTGATTTGTGTTTATTTGCTTTTTATTTTCGAGTTACTCAAACACCAGGATACTTCAAATTAAAACTTGCACTTTACAGTAACGGTGTTTTTTTAACATATATATATATATATGTACAAATGTAATATGTAGAATGTATTTTCAATCGAGTTTAGCTTAGAAAATTGTGAAATAAAGTCAGGGTCTCTTTTGGCTTAGCTTGAAAGGCATCCGCATCAGTCTTCGGAGTTAAAAGTGACTTTGCTGGAATTAAAAAAAATATATATGGAAATTGCTACAGATCGGAATGCCAGAGATACTCATCAGTTGTGGGAAAAGACGAATGTTTCCGATGTGGCATCGCCAATTCTACGATGTGTGCCGAGCCCGCCATTTACGTACGCGATGACGAAATCGCCAAAACGACCCGAAATTGAAAGAGAGAAATGAGAACTGGCTATAAGATCGGCATCCTTGGGATACTTGGGTGGGCTGAATAGGAAAATTACCCATGAAGCTAATGGCACAAAATTGACTGAAGGCGTAGGTGTTATCGTAAAGTGCGGCTTTGCTGTAAGAGAACAGCTGAGAGAAAACCGTCCTACGCTAGTAGGAACAATACTGAAAAAGGTTTCTTAAAATTGAATATGATTAATCTGTATTCGACCCAAACGAACATCAATTTTGTCCACGGCGAATTTCGTAAAAGATAAGAAGTATTGAGCAGTAATAGCTACTTCGTGAAGTGAAAGAGAATAGCTAACTAGTGGGTTGAAAATACTTTCTCGATGTTTCAGGCAATTTTCCAGGTCGCAAATTTAGATGACAATGACGTCATAAATCCGAGGACAGGAAACTGTTTGCACAACGGGATGTTATTATTATTTTTTTAAAAAACAATATAATAATAAAAATAAAAATAATAGTAATAATAAAACAATGAGCAATCTAAGTAATAACCGGTTTTTTCCTGACCGACTGGCAACGCTTTATTTTCCTAAATAAAGAAGAAGTGTCATCAAATTGTAACAGAAATGTTTGTATGTACGTATCAATACCAGCTCATTAATTATAGTGGCCTGGTCTTCTTAAAAGTTTCTATACCAGTACATAAAAACTGAATTGATGTACTATTTGACCATAAGGAACGAGTAAGAACAACATTCAGTAAACTCTCTGTAAGACGCACACCGTCATTGGGATCGGCATCATGTGTCCGTTCGAAAAAAGTTCGTCTTAGGGTTGCTTTCAAGTATCGCGTAATTTTTTACGTGCGTACCAGCGTAAAATTTACGTTCGCAAATAAAATAGCCGGAGAGGCAATGCATGAAAGGTCGTTCGTACATGTAAGGGTAAAAATCGAACCTCGCTCAACTTCTCGTTTAAGTTCAGCACTTTTTATTTTGCCTTTATTTTATTTACGTGATTAAAATTTACGTGCGTTAACGTGTGTAGCCAAAATCGCGTCAGTGGAAATCAACCTTTATTGAGAGGTGTCGGTTAAGGTGATGTTATACCGAACGATTGGCAACGACGATAGCGCAACACAGCGTTGCAATGTTGGAGCAATGTTGTAACAATTCAAAACAACGTCGCAACAACGTTGCAACGTTGTGTTGCGCTAAAAGTCGTCGTTGCGAATCGTCTTGTGTAACATCACCTTTAAGAGAGAGTTAACTTGGACAGAAACTGAACTGGTCGGTTATTTAAACGAAGTCCAACTTAGGCCGCGGTTTAGGAAAAAAAATCTTTGGATCTCCAAGTCGCTTCCTTAGTGGGTTCGTTTAAGAAGACAAATCGTTTTCTTGTCCCTTTATATGCTCTAATGAAACTGTTCACAATAAATGGTGTTTACATGAAAGCGTTCGGCAAACTGAAAATGGTTAACGCCCGTTTGACTAAACTCCGTTTAAACAACTGGCCCAATGTGTTTGTTTGTTTGTTTGTTTGTTTTTTCATTCGAAAACTTTAATGATTTTGGTTTATTGCCACCTTAGAGAGTGAACTGATGTCTTACGCTTATTGTCTGGTTGTCATTTCCTTCATAACGATCGAAACTGCCCTTTCAATAACATGATTCTTAGGCCCCGTCCACAATGAGAATCTGTACATTTTGAAACCGCATATATGTTTAGCTGGATTGTTGAGGAAGAGGCCTTACACCATTTTGGAGAGCGGTTTCAAAAAGATGTGATTTCGGTGAGAGAATTCACTGGTTTCGTGTGGACGATCGGAGGGTCGATTTGTGTATCAAAAATATGTGGACGTTGCCTTAATCCTTTAAGCCCCAATAGCCACCAACATCAATTTTCTCCTAAAGATATCCATACAATGACAAGAGATTAATTTATGAGAATAAATAAAATAATCACCTAAGAAAAAAAGCTTTGATTTTTATTAAATTCTCTCAACTTATTCTTTAAAGAAATGTATAGAGATCAGTTGGAGAATCTGCACGTTGATTTTGAGGTTTTCAACGGTTAATCACAACCGTAGTATTTTAAAAGATGGCGTCAGACCCTTGCCGTTTATGGGCATTTGAAATACTTGAGGAAGTGTAAATAGTTGGAGGCCGATGGTAATTTACAGTACGTATTAATTTTTACAATGGGCAAAATTTATTCAAGTCTGTCGCTCAAATGTATTATTATCTGTGTCAGATTTCAAAACTGAGAGTAGAAATTGATTGATTTGAAGAAAAAAAAAATCAGACATCACCATTTTAAAGAAAAATGCCCACTATTCATTGTCTGAAAAAGTAAAGCCAATGAAACGAAAATTATCAAGTGACGATCTGTCTTAATAAAAATAATTTTTTCATCATTTTTTTATTTTTATAAAAAAGTCACTTATTTTGGACATGTGGTTAAATTTTGTTATGAATTAATTAGTCACTGGTTGAAAAGAAATTAATTTTAAGAGGTTTTTACTCTGAATTTCCTGTTTTAGGCGTTTCTCGCCATATATAGTTCATGGCAAGGAAAAGCAAATTAGTCTCTTTTAAAAAGGGTTTAGTTATAACAAAGCTTGTTGTTAGTATGCAAATTATTGATTAAGATGAACATTTTTAAAGCCACTGCGCTGCTGCGAGTTCATCAAAATTCTGGCTCAACTATAGGCATCGATTACGCTCTTTGATAGCCGTAACCACTGACGCACCGAAGAATTTTTCGAGTTTTGACGATTCATTGTTCACATCCTCTTCTTTATGTATATCCTGAACCTTTGACAGAAGTATGCCCTTACGCAGGTCTACAAGTTGTGAGTTTACCAGCTTTTCACACGGAACTGAATACAACTCGGAGGGTGAAAAGATCAAAGGACGGCGTAGCAGATCTGCTCGTAAGAAGAGCGTTCAGTGGTCGGAGGATCTAGAGGAAGTGCGATATTTTTCGCCACACAGAAGTAGGAGCGAAACTATTCGACGAAAGTTCCAAAAGGTAAAGAAGAGAGCAGAACACTTCACAGAGCAACCTCTGATGCGAGTTTTCATGAATTTCCGCGAGTCAAGAGTAAAGCGATTGCGACTTATTGGGCAACATACAAACTGTTTTTCCTTGGACTCTGGAATGCAGAGTTTCGAAGAGTACAATAAACAGTGGGACCGTTTGTTTGAGATGTATTCAAGTCCAAATATTTCTGTAGAAACAAAGGACACAGAAACAGTATGACAATGAATTCTGCGGGTAGTTTTACCAGGGCAAAAATTTGGAGAAATAGAAGTCTGAAGCTATTTGGGGATTATTCACCATGGAGAATCTGTAAGTGAAGGCGACAATGAGGCCAAATATCAAAGCCAAACATTTCGTTGTTTCAAGTCTTGGCTTAGCAAGAACATTTTAACATGCTTTGTTCAAATTATGGCAGATTACCTCAGATTCAGATTGAAGACTGAGTAAATAATTGTGACCGCGCTTCCGCTGTAAAGTTCTATAAAAACTGAAAGACAGGGCTAAATAATTACATACTTCAGCTTCGCAGATAAATAACTGGATTGCCAATGCAAGGATTTTGCATTCAAACATTTATCAAAGTAGCCGGACAAGGTATCCTTGATAGACTAACAGTAAAAAAAGAAGAACATCTTGTTTCTTTTTTCTTTTCAATGAACTGAAATGTCTTTTTGTAATACGATTATTAAAATCTTGACCTATAAAGAATACATACCAACAGAAAGAAATCAATGCTCTATAGAACGATGACCGCAAAATCGCACACTGAATTTTTAAAATGTTCGTTATTAATTGAAACGTGATTAATGTCGCATACACGTGACTTAAGGCCTAAGGTGACCCTTTCAGCTAGCTGGGTTGATTTTATGCTAGATTAAAAACTTTCAATCTTCGATTTCTCCAGCTACAGTCAGTCAGAGGGTCAATGATAGATCCTTTATCTGTCATTTCTGGGTTGTATAGAGAATGTCTACTTTTAAGCCTATTTACTGGAGAAAGTCACAAGATGTATCTAGCTTTTTATCGGGACATTCATAAAATTATAAAACTGCCTAAAGAACTTTATGACAGCATGAAATATAGTCCTTATTTTTCATAAACATTAGTTTATCTAACCAAACTTGCATGTTTGGTAGTAAGACCTAAACATTTAACTGAATAACGTGTTGATTTTTCTTTATTTATATCGCAAAATATGTTTACTTATTTTACTCAATCACACTGACATAAGATACAGAAACTGTAGCAAATAATAACAACCGTTAGTAAAATCCAGCTAGTGGTCTATTATCAATGCTGCGTTCTGATTGGTTGAGCTACTACTAGGCTATATGTTATAGCCCACTAGTAGCGAAAGCGCCGGCTTTTTGGCGGCAAAAAAAGGATTAAAGTTTAGCTTTAACTAGCTAAAGTTGTGTTGTCTCGATATTTTTGACCAGCTAGTTAGATTTTACTAAAACAATTATTCCTCCCGCCCTCATAGCCTTCGAGTCAATAGCCCATTCGGCCTTCGGCCTCATGGGCTATTGACTCAGATCCCTTTCGGGCTCGAGGAATAATTGTTAATTAGCTACCCTTCCATAGTAAAGAAATCATAAAAAAGGAGGAAGAGACCAAGTGCATCTTACAACATCTGCAACACTTTATACAATATATTAAATGAAACTATGGCAACTTAATTAAAATGCCCTTGATGTTGTCGCTTATTTAATGCGAAGAAGTATAAGTATGCTCAAACTACCTATTACTGTAATCACGTGCATAACGTTCAGTGCAATGAGCTCTTAATATCATGCTGCTGTTTTTACCAACTTACATAATTTTCTAACTTTTATTATATAAGACGTTATATACGCATGCCAGGGAGCAGGATGTGTGGTTTACTTCCAACCTGACGCTATTTTGGTGATCACATTACGATATTTTTAGACTGGTATATTAAACATTTATATACGATAAGGAGGAATTCTTGTACTTCTCTTTTAAGGGTTCCGATGCTTTCACGATTAAAGTTTGAAAAGATGACGCATGTTTCTGGCAGCCTGATTAACATCGTTATAAACCCACTCAACCGCGATAAGCGAAACACTTCAGCTCTGGAAACTTTCGCTCCTAAAATCAAAACCGCAGAACGGGAAACGTGACTGCAATACGATTATAAATTTAAGGCATGTATGAAATCACTGTATTATTTCAAAAATTATATTTTCGTTATTCTCGGTTTTAAACCTTTAAAATTCAACCTCGACACTTTTAAAAGAGTGAAAAATATAACTTGTACAGTTGCTTTTATCGAGAACTGGATTATATGACGTGATTAACATGGCAATCCCACTCCGGCATTCTAGAACTACTGATGTCACTTTAGTCTTAGCTGTGAAGATAGCTATTTCTTCCGGTATCAACGGCTTTTAAAAATTTCTTGTTTTCACTGAACGTTATCTTAAAATGATTTACAAATATTAAAAGCTTAACAGCACTTAAATAGAATTACTCAAAAGTATAACATCGGACAGTTCGAGAAGTTTGAGGTAATTAAGTTATATGATGAATATTACTCTTTGTCAGATCTTATTAAATGGAGATCCCAGAAAATACTGAATGTTTCTGCATAACGTATTGCATGGGAAGTGAAACTTCACTTAGGCTTTTGTTCCTGGGGGCCTTTGCCGGACGTCATGCATCGCACCGTCAAATATGGGATTGTGAACGCCGGTCATTTCATGACCGAATCAATTTAAGCATAATTTTGGATATATTTGTCTCCATAAAGTATAAACGGAAATTTTTTGTACAAGCAAGAAAACATTTCCCTAGTTTTGAGTTTTTTATTGTTCCATGAGGAGCAGACAAAACAAGGTAGTCATGTCCGTAAGAGTAGTCAAAACAGCAAAACCAAAGTACTCTAGCCAATTACAACACGAGCTGTCAAAATGATATTGTCCTACATGACCTTGAAGCAGCTGGCTACTGGTTGCCAAGGGCGGAAAACCGTCTACCGATTAGTCAAGTTTGGTTATTTTCAAGGGCCTGATTGGCTGAGACACCAAATTACCCACGGAGCTACTTTCGATACCCACTTAAAACTGTACAGATAAAATAATGACAAAATTATACAACTTTTCCTTTATTTCAAGAGCAAATTTTGCTGTGGAAATAAAGCAGCTGGGACCCACCAAGTTCTTTTGGAAGATAGTATTAACCAAAAACATGTCAACCACTCTGGGATTCATATTGAAACCCATAAAAGTGTGTGTCCGATAGCCCTTAAACTGTCTAACGTAGTAAGTTTTGTTTTCCTAATGTAGACCACGTGACGTTGCTCTTAGCCTGCGAGCAAGCTCTCGCGCGTTCTCTCGCCCAAATAGGAGAGCTTGCTCGCAGGCTACGTTGCTCTAGAAACTTCACACAAAAGGAACGTGATTTCGGCGCGATTTCTGTAACGGAGCGAAGCGTCACATATCGGATAGGTGTTCATATTATACGGGATATTGTACGGGATAGCTTTTTGTGTCGTCACAAAAAACAAAGCTATCCGAAGAGTGTAAACAAAGCCTTACGCAATGTCTACACCACGTCTACACTATAAGGTATAGCTCTTACGCTGACACAAAAACGATATCGGATAGAGCTTTTGTACACGCACAAGAGCGGTGATTTCAGCGCGCTTTCAGGAATGGGAATCCCTGGCCTCTCGCCGCAAACAAGCTCGCTTATGCACAATGTGCAAAATTTCAAATGACATCATTCATGTAAATAAGTCTAAGTGCTTTACTCCAGTAACAGAAACTCGGACTCGTGGATCTCACGGTTTCAAATATGTTATTGAACAGACAAGTGACGATATATTTAATTATTCCTATTTTCCTAGAACAATGAAGGAATGGAATAGCCTCCCTTCTGACATTGTATCTGCCAAATCTTTAGATATTTTTAAGAGTATGTGAAGCGATTTTTTACGAGGAGATTGGTATGACGTGACCCTCCTCCAGTATTTATTTATTTATAAATTTTAAATCTTTTTCTTCTTAATTTAATGTTAACGTGATAACTGTACATAGTTTCTGCTAACTAATAAATATAGATGTACATGTAGATGTTTCACTAACGGAGCGAAGCTGTGCCGCATTCTTGAAAGTGAATCGTCATAGATCGAATAGGTTGTGTGCCAGTCTTTGTAGCAGTGTAAACAGGTATTCGAACAGTAGGGGAAGTGAATGAGTAGAAGAGCGGAGTAGATCCCCCTCAGACTGAAGGAAATACTCAGGAGCGAGGATTGAGATTTAGTCCAGCAAACCCTGTCCGCCAGGCGCTCCAGTACGATGCCTGATGTATGTGAACGATTTGTTGTGTGACAGAGCACAAATAGAACACGCGCTGAGAACCAATATCGGAAAAGGAAAAAAAAGGAGTTTACAGAAAACGGAAAGCAGAATGAAAAATTGAACTGAAGATGGAAGAGAGAAAACAGACAAGAGAAGAAAGTACACAGAACGGGACGCATACAACAGTAGAAGAAAGGAAAAAGGATAACAGACTATAGAGATCGTAAAAATACAGAAAAATAGCAAAAGAAAGACAGAAATTAGCAAAAAAGGAAAGAGAAAACGGAAATTCAAAAGCTAAAAAAAAAAAAACTTGGCCAATATCCAGCCTTTTGACCAAACAAGCTTGATGATCAATTACTCGTATATTTAGGGTTACAGCGGAGAGCAGACTGAGTGGAGAGATAGCATATCCGTTAGTGAAGTAGAATAAAGTAAGAAGTGTCAAGTTGAGTGGAATCACTTGGAAAGCTTCCCACCTAGCCCTCAACCCAACACTTTGCCCTTAGCGAGAAGCTAGTGCCAACATTGACTCAGGGAAGGGGTGGGTTGGCAGGTTCTTACTACTATTATACTAATCAACGAGGGAGACGACCGGGCAATTTCCAAGTTGTTCCAAACATCTTTTCGAAACAAGAGTAAGTGAGAAGTCCATAACTGATGTGAAGATTGTTCCATTGTAAACAATTTTTTATATTCCCACGTAAATATTTCACTTAACCTCATTTTGAGAGCTTCCAAAAACTCGGAAATTACTTGTTACAACTAGCAAAACATCAATGACCTCTTTGTCCCTTAAAGTCGAAATAAATGCAAACAATCACGTATGTGGGGCAGAAATAGGATGAGGGTGTGAGAACTGTGTGTGAACCAGCCACAAAAACCTCAGGAGTACTTCCCAGGTTCTACTCATAAGTGCATCGACGTGACGTGTAACGATAAGTGAGAACTGTTACCTAATTACTCGGAACTTCAGTCTTAGATCTCGTGTTCCTTCCTTACACAAATATAAGTGCTTCGCCAATTCTATCCAAGGTTTTTTAATGGGCATAAACTCGTAAGGCCAGCCATATAACTACACATTTAAGTCTAATATCAAAGTTTCGTAACGTGCTGAATGATCGCATGTGAACGAAAAACCACAATTCAGACAATAAAGACCTCCTCCATCTTCCACGATATTTAACTTTTCCATTGTTCATTAATATGTGAAATATTTTCCCACCCAGTCTGCATATCCTGATATCTACAAGTGATGGTTGATTGATATTGCTAGCGAGTAAGCCACAGATAAAAGGACCAACATAATATTTATTTCATTCACTGAGTTCCTATCAGTTTTCTTTTTTAACAAAACTTGCACTGAACCTTCATCCAGAATTAATGGCAAAAAAACCTCGATTTACTCCAGAAGCAAACGTGCCGGTTACAAGAAAAAACCGAAAGTCTCGCCGCCCATACTAAATTTTGCAAGTCACGTTTTCTCTGCATATTTTACGCATTTTAATCAACTTGTGAAAAGTGTCTGAAACCTGAAAGGAAATTGCCAGTGCATTTGAAATAAAGTGCATTTTAATTTAAGTAATACATATCATTTTTCTCTCGAATATGGTGAGACTTGCGTAAATCACGCCTTCTTCAAATATTGTTCTCTAGGTACCGTTATTAAGCACGTTCACTGCACTCGGAGGAGAAACGAATTCGCAATTTCATGTTTTCCACGTTTTTCCCGAGACACAGTTGGCTTACACTGTGACTTCGCGCGCTTTTTATTCATATCCGTAATTCCATATATAATTCTTGCTGGACGGCTTGGTGTTTATTTGTTATCTACTGAATGCTTCGGAATTATAGACATGTATATAAGACGCGGGGCTGCATGCGGAGACCATATATCAGACTGCACGATGTATGTATTTTACTGGGACGCTTCACGGAATAATTAAAAACTTTCCGGCATTCGATAACCTATTCGATACACTCTTAGAAAACGTTTTTGCCTTTTAATATGGTCAGTTTTTTGAATAGCGGCCAAGGTACTCTTACAATTTTAGTGGGAGCTTTATCTACTTAAAAGAGAACAAAAGAAGGGGAAATAATTAAGGGGAAATTTTACATTGAATTTTGATTTTTCTGAATGAAATTCTAGTTCTTTTTCAAATGTTGCCAACATCAAATTGATAAAAGTCCATAAGAAATTTGCATGTAACTATTCATGAATGAAATTCTACATATAACACCTGTTTTTGGCAAGGATGCAAGCACAAATAAATTTAATTTCAGTTTGGCTTTCTGTCGCTGTCATGCCATGTCAGCGTCTCCTCATCTCGACCTAAATGCATTCAAAAATGTGCTATGAGAAGTAGACAAACGGCTTTACCTTAAGAAGAAGTTTGAAAATGCTAATCAAACTTCTCAAAATTAACTAGATTAAGATAACTCACCGCGAATACTACAAAAAATTAATGCTAATTCGAGGCTCGAATGTGATCACGGAAATTCTGGCCACAAAATCCAAATCTTTTTTATATTTAAGTTTTGCTTTAACGTTATAAAAATTGAAAGAAAAGTGAAATTTAGGTATTGAATAGAGAAATAATTGGAGAAACGTTTTCAAAAAACTTTGAAAATGAATTTTCAGTTTAAGAAATTTAGATCCTCTCATATATCCCCCTGAGCTCTCACTTCATAAAACTACAAAAAAATCAACGCTATTTTTTTCAACGGAAACAGAAAACAAGACATTAAAATATATTGGGAAAATTACATTTTTGCAAGTCAAGCACCGTTGTATCGATATAGAAACGGGAATGTTCCAGAAAGATTTCCTGATGATGCGCGTGACAGCAAAGAGGCGGAATTGAAAATGCAAATGAGGGATATTGTTATATAAATCTTATCTTTTCTGCGGCTTACCACAGAGATATACCGAAGTGAAGAGCAGGTCCGATTGAGATATTAAAAAAGGGCTTCTAGCTGGCATTTTTCACCCAACACGCAACCGTCTTTCGAGCAGTTTGCAGACCTTACTTGGGCATACAGGCGGATCAAGATATGGCTCTGCCAAAATCTATGAGCAGCGATCACATATCCATGGCCGAAAATTCTGCAAAACAGGTGCGATGGTCCATTGACCTGGAAGAAGTATTTTACTTCACACCACAAAAGCCTCGTAGGAAAAGCATCACTGAAAGATTACGAGATTTTAAGGAAAAGGCGAATGACTACTTGGCTGATAGAACATTTCTCCCTAAAGTGCACTTTATAAACAGAGGTTCGCGCCGAGACTCGACGTTTAGGAGATATTCAGTGGACTTAGAGGCCGACCTTAACAGACAGTGGGACGAACTGTTTAAGCTATACAGCGAGCGAGTAATCAGTGACTAAGCGAGGGGGATGTTCGTAAGAACGTGTGGATCAGAAATTTAACAATGTGACATGTGGCAGTGTCGTGCATGGCGAAGATTTGAAATGTATAGCATTGACAAGGGAAAATGGCCCGCGTTGCAGAATAAGCTGACAATGCTTAATTATTGCTCTTATTTTAGAGCATACATGTCATCGGCAGATACAGATACAGATATCATCGGCAGATACAGCAAAAACGTGATTGCTTAAAGATAGGTTCTATACATTATCTGATAGGAAAGCAGATAACTTAGCTTGCATGACTTCCGTGTTTTTAATACAAGCATCAAAAGCAAAAGCTACTTCATGTTACACATCATCGACAACGCACTGAACAGTCTCTAATGCATTTAAACTTAGTCAAAGAAGAGGCAGAAACATTCAGTAGTTTAATTCAGTTTAACATTTATTTAAACAGTGTTGGCGGAACTTTGAGTCTCAGCATAGAAAGGAATTACCTTACAATAAATCACGTCTGAGGTCAAATATCAGCTGGAAGCCTTTGTTTATAATTATTCAGAAATAAAAAAAATATTGACAAATGACCTAGATTATGTAAACACTGAAAAGTTTTCAGGCCGTGTATATTCAGTTTGAAGTTGGATCAACCTCAGGTTGATTCATTTGCATGTCTTTAAAAGACTATATGTTAGATTTAGATCTGTTTTATTGATAGATGTGAGAGCGGATGACAAATGAATTATAGCTCAGAAAAATAATGTATAGGTTAATTTTAGCTGCAAGCCAATATCAAAATATATGCAAATGATAAAATGATAATTGTAAAGATTTAAAAATTATAATGAAATAAAGATCATATTGTGCCAAAGGTATAACAGTACAAAAGGTGGCAAGTTTTGTTTGTGCTTCGCAAAAACAAGATTTAACATAAACACTGTAACAACTTGTTTTTCAATTCCTGTTTCTAGAATTTTTTTGCTTTGAACAATTCATATCAGCTCAATCAAACAGAAGATTTATTAAGAATAAATGAACTGAAAGTGTCTTAACTCAATTTTTTTTTCAAACAAAATTTTTATTACCAGTAGACTTATTGAAGGGTCTTTGAAAAACTGTTTACAAACAGTGTTTGAATTGTTATGTTTCTAGAGTCACTGCCTGGCAACCATAGTACCTTAAAAATACATTTACAGACCTTTACATACAAGTGAAAGCCAACCCGTTTTTCATTGAAAGCAATAAGACCAGAATTTTAAGGTTTTTTTTCTTCGACGCTTACAAAGAAGTGTACTAAATTTGCCTTCTCATTTAAGTTTGCCTTTCGGTTTTTCTCATCACTTTAAAAGTTGTTATAGGATAAAAATCCTCACCAGATTATTAAGTCATTTCAGAAGAATTCCGGGAATCTTTTTCTCATTTTCTTGTAGCGTCTTATTAAATTAAATGATACAGCTATAAGTTGCGTCTTGTGGAAATATTATACCCAATTGGCAAATTCCCTGCCCTTTCATATACTGCAACCCAAAGCCTGAAGGTAAACCTCTCCAAAGGCCTTAATAGTTAGTATTCCCCCGGGGATCAAAACAGAACAACAAAATAGTTGAAAACGTTGATCGACATTGCATGCTGTTTACGGACAAAAACGCCTGACCTTTATCTAGTGAAAACAAGGCTTTGATGAATCTGATTTTGTTGCATAACACCTTAAGCCTTAGATTCAAAGTTCACTTCACTAAAACTATAAATAGAAAGACGTTCTAAAAACGGTAACTTTCTAAACACCAAAACAAATAATAATCCTCCCAGACACGTGCATGAGTGAATGTACGTAGCATCTGTCAGCCTGATTTGTGTTTATTTAGTCAAGGACTTATATAACCACTTACAACATTGACAGAGCTACAGACGCGCCAGTCCATATGTCTGCATTTTGAACCCAAATAACTGGGATAAACTCTATTCTTTAAAAAATGTTCTTTTTAATCCACGTCAATGCGACTTTTAGTCTGTGATTACTAGATCGAGTACGTGTACAAGTTTCACGAGGTTTTAAGCCAGAAATGCCCCTAGACTCTTCCGTTCAGTCCCCTCGCTCGCTCGTCGCCGCTAGAGACAGTTGAGCAGAAGAGACCATCGCTAGTGGCGAGGAGCAAGTAAAGACGGCTGTATTCGCAGGCTACTGTGAGAAACGCTCAAGAGCAGTGCGGCAAGTGATACGTCTAGAAGACGTGAACTTGGTTTGCAAACTCTTACGCGAACTCAATCTCGCACTCGTAGTTCATTGAAAAAGTGTCTTACATTCGCCACGCTAAATCATCCTCAATAGCTCACTTCGGAAAAGAGTGAGCGCGCGCGCATTTATGGGATTATTTAGGGGGACGCGAATGCAAACAAACATGGCGGAAAGCCAAGTGGAATGTTTCAGCGGGGTTAAAACAGCTACAGCTGAAGGAAGAAGATGTTCCTGGGGTGATTTTACCTTGGATAAAACCAGAAGAATGCACAGTGAAACAGCTTCAAATTACATAATTATCTCCATGATCTAGCTTACATATCCCTTTGCTATTCATCAAGGTTTCCTGACTGAGCAAATTGAAAAGTCTAAGTCGGACTAGTCGAAGAAATGTTTCACTTCTAAGTACAAAACTAAAGGAACTAATTGGACTTAATAAGCTTGAGCTCGATCTATTAAGGATAGGGGAGATACAAAGTTACCGACCCTTTGTAGTTTAAAAATTAAACTTGCACTGTATTCTAAATAACTAACCTCGTGGAAGTAAATCACTGCAAGAGACAGATGTCTGAAAGACAAACCGACAGTCAGTTGATGCTGGTCGAGTGAAAGAAAAGGATACAAAAACTCGAGGATAATTATATCATAAGTGGAGGGTAGCTGACGTCATACTTGGAATACATCCATATTCAGTAAGAAAAAGAATTGCACTGGAACATAGTTAATTGAGTGGAATGGTTATGAAACCCGTCAGACTCCTTTGTTATATGTTTTTGTGGACCTGAAAGTGCACAACGTTCAAAAGAATTTCTATCATTTTGATTGTATTGACCAATAAAAACGTTGCAAACAATTTGCCAACAGAAAACAAAGGATTGTGCACTTTCAGGGTGCTTCCAACATAAACTGCAGCACTGTTGTTTTTATCATTGATGTTTGCCGCTTTTCATAACCAGTCTCCTCTAATAACTATGATTGGAATGACAGAACACGCACGATCACGATACAATAATCACAACCGTAAACATTCTCATCAAACTGTATTTCAAACTTTGTAACTTAGGCCTACGCCAAACATCGAACTTTTCATGAGACGAACCAAACTTAGTGAGTTAAGTTCATGAAAAGTTCGACGTCTGGCTCAGTTAAGTTCGTCCGAATGAGATCGTCCAACACGTTCTATCCGTCTGCTTCAGACGGATAGAACGTCTCACGGTCTGAAGATCCTGTCCTGGACAAACGTCTATCTTCACATGCGACGAACTAAACTATTAAATTAAAAATTTGTATCATAATGTATGTTAAGCCTCGTTCGACTACTATTGCTTTTTGGTCTGATTCAGTTGATTGGTTCGACGCGTCCTAAGTTCGTCGTCTGACCCAACAGACGATCTTAACTTAATTTAGGTCGACCCAGATTACACTTTGGTTCGTCTTATGAAAAGTTCGACGTTTGGCGTAGGCTTTAGGAAAAAACAAAGTACACTATGACATAAAATGACGAACCATGTAGCAGAAAAGTGAAATCCTTCCCGCTGCAATCTTTTATACAGCTCTGACTGGGCGGAAATTTTGGGTGCTTTGGATAGGTGGTTGCCGCATAGGAAGTGGTCGCACCTGACACCGAGGTTTGGCCAAGACGTGCCTCTTCTGAGGTGATTTCTTTGATTATACTACTACATGTCTTGAGTAATTTCTGCAATTTGATTGGCTTAGAGCTGTGGTATTTCAGCTTAATTTGAAATACCGACATGTGAAAATTACAAACTTTTGTGGGAAGTAGTATAAACAAATAACAGTATGATTTGTACGTGATATTTTGCATATAAAATACCACTCGCGATATTTCAACATCGTCTCAAATTTCACTCGCCGAACGGCTCGTGAAATTACGTATAACAATTTTGAAATATCACTCGTGGTATTTATGCCAAATATCACTACAAATCCCTATACGAAGAATGTACTAAGAATTAATTTCAAACTTGGCACAACTGGTAGTCATACATACGACACTAGAAAAAAAAAGCAATAAAAATATGGGTCACCGTGCTTGTTTTCGCCCACAGAACTTAATGGCCAAATATTTAAACGTAGTTTATCCAGTGTTAAACAAAACCGTGTTCTAAGTTATTTTCAATTTGCCAAACGATTTTATCTAAACATCATTTATTGTGAACAGTTTCATGAAAGCATATAGAGAAGACTAGAAAAGCATTTATCTTCTTAAAACAACCTACCAAAGAAGAGATCTGGAGGTTCAAAGATTCAAATATCATTAGTTTTTAGATTCTTACTGACATTAGTTAGCTCAATTCCGCAAACGAACCAACAAGCTCATGTAGCTTTAATACCCATCGTTTTTAAACAAGGGCTATCTAGTTTGCAAACAATGGTAAGAACAAAGACGATCGACAAGACGAGCAATCCGGATCCATCCACATATCACCCAACGTCGATACTGAAACGTTTTTATATTTGAACGACGAAAAGAAAGCGTAATATATTAGGTTTAAATTATAGAACTCTCGTTAATAGAACAATCTGTATACATCATAGCCTAAGTGAATTTCATTGACACGGAAAACGTGTTGCTACTGACACTAGTTATCTTTCTATAACTTACCAGAAGCATTGCTGCGTTACTCGAGTAATCTTATTCACAAAAAATAATACACGCAACAAGAAATCGAAGATTCAGGAATACTCAGGAAACGTGAATTGCAGATTCGTATACTTCTTCCCCCCATCGTTAGCATATTAAAGTCTTGAAGAACCTATAAGA